CACTGAAAATGTTGCAATTGCTAGATTTTTGCGTTTGCTTAATAAAGTGCAAAACATCCTGGATGTGTGGATCCGACCGACCGAAAGCAGAGGCAGTGGCTAGACGCTCTATGCGATAAATTGAGCTTTGTGTTTCTGCTTCCAATCAAATAAAAGTAAACGCCTGGCATTGGCCAATGCTGAAGCTTTGAGCTGTGCACGGCTCTGATATATGAGTCTGGCTGGAGGTTTGCACCAGGGCAACAGCAGCGAGGTGAACAATGCAACACAGTCTGAGCGAGCGTGTGAGAACTATTTCTGCAGGTGAGCGAAACAACAATGTGTTGCCATGGCAACCCTTCTGCCCCACACACACACCCGACCGGCACCAGCCGGAGAGAGAATCACGCTCTCTCCGACTCCATTTTCAATTTCAAATTAGCTTTATTAGCATGACTGTGTAACACAATGCTGCCAAAGCAGTAACACATTATATATGAATAATAAAACAAACAAAACATATATGAATAGATCATGTCATATGTGGCATATTCTTCTACATAAATGACCCATTTTAAAGGGGACATATCATGCAAAATCCACTTTTTTAGCCCTTAAATGCATTTTGTTGTATATTTGGAGTGTTTATAAGTACAGAAAAGATTAAATTATTCTCTTCAGGTGCTTCGTTTATATCTTTATATTCTGTTTTGGTCATATTTTTCAACCTGTTCAGATTTCGTTCAGATCGTCTATGACGTTTTTTGAACTATCACGTTACCGTATTTGCAGCAGAACTGACGAATAAGGACATCGACTACCGGTCCGACCATTATTATTTCTCGCTCTGATTTTGTAGTCCGAGCTCAATGATGCAGAAGTTACGAGAGGGCAAGTCAAAATGTTCGGTTGTTGGATGTAGTGACCTTCAAGGATTCCCACTTCAACAACCTCCGCCAGTAACGTTATACAGAAGGGTTTGCCGATCGACTTCGTCTGAATGAGGGGTAAATTCCTTCTATCTTTGGAGACGACGAACAGAGCATTTCGATAAGCTGTAAATATCGTTAATAAAAATAAAGTACTTTACTTTCTTAAAACACATGGTGGTCATGGTTTAGCAGTACCTTTGTCTTTCTTTGTTTTGTTTTGAAGTAACGTTACATGTCTGCAGTATTATTGTTCTTGAGTTTCATCAATGGTCATTTAGCTGCTTTTCTAAACGTATCATATTATCAATACAGATTGTTTGTGGTAAGATTAGACCGTAGTCATTTATCTTGTTTTAACAAGAGAAATAGTCGACTTTCACTAATAACACAAAACAGTTAACTCACATACCAATACATCCATATGATGAAGACGTTGTTCTGCAGGTTCGTCGTCGTCTTTATCGACTCGCTCGCTCTGGCTTGATGGACAAGTCTTCTGTTGTTGACATTTTATTAACGTGTGAATAAAAATGTTCTTATCGTATATAATCGTATATCTCTAATCAAACTACAATAATGGGGGGTTGAACCGACCGTGAACTCATCGACCTGGAGAGCGGGCGGGGTGTGACGCATCTCCTTTTTATTTAAAGGGACCGCTTTGAAACGGGTCGCTCACAGACGCACATCAGAAAAGGGGCCTGTGGAGCTATAATAATGAGGAATTTAGACCCAAGCATTGCAGTTATGTTTTAAATAGACCACAACAGTATGATTTATATGTAAAAATGAATGATTTAAAAGCATGATATGTACCCTTTAAATACACATTCATCTTTCCAGAGGTGAAGTATCCCTTTAAACATCTCATTCAACATCCCAGAATAATGTTGGTGAGTTTTTTTTAACTCTTTCCCCGCCAGCGTTTTAAAAAAAAGTTGCCAGCCACCGCCAGGGTTTTTGACGATTTTCGCTAAATTTGAATGCCCCTGCTGAATATTTTCTTCCATGAATATATGAAGATGATATATATAAAAATAAAGATCTGAGCCTCTGCTTTTTGGCAAAAAAAACGTTTTTATTTTATCTTCATCTGTTCTTTTTTTATTGCCTCTTGAACAGAGGTAGGTTTTGTCAAAAACACAACATTTTGGACAAAAAACTGAGAAAAAGGTATTTTTATCAAACAAGTGCATTTAAAAGCAGAATACATTCAGATGTTGTTTCCTTCATATCTAAAACTTTCCAAAATAAATTAAAAACATAAAATAAATGTAAAATATATCAAATTTCCCAGGATGTAAGGTAAATGTAACTTTTGCAATAAAACTTCTGCCTCTCTGTGTTCTACCTGTGAATAATGAATAATTGGAATTACAATAAACAGGCCTAGACACACACACACACACATACACAAATACATATTACAATGTGGTAAATGTGCACAAAGAGAGAAATAATTTGACAATTACACCTTCATATTTAGACAGCCACACATAAATGCCTGCACACACACATAAATATTATAGTGTCATAATATTATACGATCTATCTGCGGCACGTCCATGGCTAGCATGAACATGTGCATCTCTCTCACTGACTACTTCGTCCCGATCAGATTCAGAATTATCAAATAAAGAGTGATCGGACTCCGAGTCCATTAACCTCCAGTACTTCAGCCATATACCTCTGCATTGTCTGTCTGATACATTCTCACTACTCCACTGTTTGAGACGATTGCGATCTGTTTCTCTGATCAAAGAGTTGCGCAATCATTCAGGACATGCGCGCGGGTCTTCCTTACCGTATACCACCTAAAACACGGATACCCGGAAAATTCCGTGTTTGGCGCAGATGCGTTTTTTCATTAAACACGGAAAATTCCGTGTTTGGCGGGGAAAGAGTTAATAGAAATGACTCGTGTCAGTCATCAGGCACAGAATATTGCTTGGCATTTTGTCTGGCGTCTCGCGTGTGTTATTGGAATATCCTCGGAGAAGGGGATCCCACTTTCAATAATTTTGATTGGCTTCTTTCATTCATGAGCTGCAGCCGAACGATTATTGGGAGGAAATTGCAGCTGCTTGCAACACTAGAGTTGATTATCAAAGTACCGGCACTCTGTGCTTGATGTGCATGTCTAATCAAAGCGTGCTGTACTACACACACACACACACACACACACACAGTTGTCCATTGAACGAGGCCCTGTCGACCCCCTCCGAGTGTGTAGGTGGTAGATGTGACATTTAAAACCAGTTCCACATCTCACCTGCTGTTCACAGGCCTCACACTGCGACAGAAACACCCGTGTCTCGGTGTACGAGCACCGGAAGAGACTCAGACCCTGAATAGTTGGCCGTAAGAAACGAGCTGTGTTTGAAATGCGAACAGGTATAGAAGTCGACTGCCTACACACAGTCAAACAGAAGAATAATGTCTGGGGGGAAAGGCACGCTGTGTCTGAAACTAAAGGCCGGGTTAGATCATTCTGTCATGGTTTACACACTCACGCTGTTCCACACCTGCGCGACTTTCCTTCTTCAGGGGAAGAAACACAAAAGATGTGATGCTGTTCATTTCCATAGCATGAAAGTGTACACTGACGGCGCTGTCAAACTCCTGAAAGCAGCATAGATGTACTTCATAGTGCTAAAGTGTGATGGTGATTTTGTAGAGCATGGCGTTACTGTGAACATCCACTGCACTGTAATGTTTGCATGATGAGGACAGTCGTGTCGAGCTGGAGGCCTCAGCAAAACTTCCAATGGGACGCACGACGGCTTAAAACGATTAAAACGAGACCAAACAAGGTGTAAAATAAGATCAAATATTGCTTGTTTTCCTGTTAGCGCTGTCATTTTTAGTTAAGAACCAGATCTCTTAAGGTCTCAGATATATAATATATATAATATATAATTATTTTATTTTATTGGTTTATTGTATTGCCACTCCTAGTTTCAGTAATTAAAAAGTTTGAAAATGAGCATCTTTGTCATTTTAGTAGAAAATTAGGGAATCAACAAGCTTGAGAAGAGCTAGATTAGGGCTGGTTTAGGCCTGGTTTAGAGCTGGTTTAGATCTGGTTAGGGCTGGTTTAGAGCTAGTTTAGGGCTGGTTTAGAGCTGGTTTAGATCTGGTTAGGGCTGGTTTAGAGCTAGTTTAGAGCTGGTTTAGGGCTGGTTTAGAGCAGGTTAGAGCTGGTTTAGGTTTTGTTTAGAGCTGGTTTAGAGCTGGTTTAAGGCTGGTTTAGGTCTGGTTTAGGTCTGGTTACGTCTGGTTAGGGCTGGTTTATAGCTGGTTAGGGCTAGTTTCAGGCTGGTTAGAGCTGGTTTAGGGCTGGTTTAGGTCTGGTTAGGGCTGGTTAGAGCTGGTTTAGGTCTGGTTACGGCTGGTTTAGAGATGGTTTTGGTCTGGTTAGGGCTGGTTTAGAGCTGGTTAGGGCCAGTTTCAGGCTGGTTAGAGCTGGTTTAGGTCTGGTTAGGGCTGGTTTAGAGATGGTTTAGGTCTGGTTAGGGCTGGTTTATAGCTGGTTAGGGCTAGTTTCAGACTGGTTAGAGCTGGTTTAGGGCTGGTTTAGGTCTGGTTAGGGCTGGTTAGAGCTGGTTTAGGTCTGGTTACGGCTGGTTTAGAGATGGTTTTGGTCTGGTTAGGGCTGGTTTAGAGCTGGTTAGGGCCAGTTTCAGGCTGGTTAGAGCTGGTTTAGGTCTGGTTAGGGCTGGTTTATAGCTGGTTAGGGCTAGTTTCAGGCTGGGCAGAGCTGGTTTAGGGCTGGTTTAGGTCTGGTTAGGGCTGGTTTAGAGCTGGTTAGGGCCAGTTTCAGGCTGGTTAGGGCTGGTTTTGGGATGGTTTAGGTCTGGTTAGAGATGGTTTAGAGATGGTTTAGCTCTGGTTAGAGCTGGTTAGGGCTGGTTAGACCTAGTTTCGGTCTGGTTTAGTGCTGGTTTAGAACTGGTTAGAGTTGGTTAGCGCTGATTTAGAATTTAGAGAGATCGTCCTTGACGTTCATAGAGAGATGTTCTTTCCAGCGTTTTAAACCCCCCCACAGCTTTCACGTTCTCCTGAATGTTTCTGCTTCTATTTCCTCAGGTCTTGAACCTCTTCTTGGCGTTGCTCCTCAGCTCCTTCAGCGCGGACAACCTCTCGTCTCCGGACGAAGACGGAGAAATGAACAACCTGCAGATTGCCATCGCTCGCATACAGCGGGGAATGCTCTGGCTCCGGCAGGCGCTCTGCGACTTCTTCAACGGGAACTTCAAGCGGCGGCGGCAGAAGGCGAAGGAGGCCAAAGCCATGCTGAAGCTCAAGAGACTCAGCCAGCAGGCGCACTGGGTGGAGGGGAACGGGACGGCCGCCGTCATCGAGCGCGGCGGGGAGGAAGACAGTTACATGACCAACCCCAACCTCACCATCAGCGTTCCCATCGCACCCGGAGAGTCAGACGTGGAGTTTCCAGAGGAGGAGGAGGAGGACGAGGAGGACGCGAGCGAGAGCTCGGAAGAGGAGGTGCCAGAAGAAACCAAGCCGGTGAGTAAAGCTAAATCTTGCATACTTACTGGAGGTTTGTACAGGCTTTAAACTTAAACACCCTCCCCCTTAGAAAAGGGTTTCTATTTATGAAAGTATCCCGGACAAGCCCCCATTTGTCAAGGCCGGCTCGCAAGCTTAATTATCAAAAGGAATAACATTTATTAAACTAAAACCATATCCCAGTCTGTCAGTGACGCTGAAGTGTACTGTACATTCTGCTTGGTTCATGTTTGGTTTATATTTACCCATCCGCAAACTGCAGTCTGTGAGACGGCCTCTTCTCGTCTGCCGTTGGCCAGAAAAAAACAATTGCAAAGTGGAACAGACTTCATGTCTATGGTCGAAACGTGAGACTAGATCTATAATATTCTTAAAATGTGGCATTGATGCTCTCATTAATGTTTCATGTGAGTGATTGTGAGCTTAACGGCACAATAATGCAGTTGCATTGACTGAATCTGGTGCTCTTCTGAAAAGTTTAGTTTTTTTCCACCCCAGAATATCATTTTTTCATTGGAATGGGTCGAAACTTGGTAAAGGTTTTGGGACTTGCAATGTGAACACAAAAAAAGAAAAATCATGGACTTGATTTGAACAGGTTAAATGGTCCTGAAAAATAGTCGCACTTGTGTTCCCCGCGTTTGATTATCTCACTGTTTTAGAGTAAAACATGTTTTTGGAAATATAAGATTCATATAAAAAAATTAAAATAGAATCTTTGCACATTTTTCATAACAATTTCACTTTTTAAAACTTTTCATTATTTCACTTCTTTCACTTCAGCAATAATATTTCAATCCTGTCTTTGAAAAAAGATCAAAGTGGAAATCTAATTTTCAGGTCTACGCTCAAAAAGTGAATAAATGGATTATAAATATAGCATAAAAATAATTTAGTACCATCAAATCTCCTAAAAATATTAACTATTTAATTAAAAAAAAAACATTATCAAGCTAAAATATAGTACATTAATTTCATTGAAACAAATAAAAACATTTTTGACCGAGTAGGGATGGGCAACGATTAATCGTGATTAATCGCATCCAAAATAAAAGTTTGTGTGTACATAATATATGTGTGTTTAGTGTGTATAATTATTTTGTATATATACATACCCACACATGCATGTATATATTTAAGAAAAATGTGTTATTAATATATCAAGTATTTATATTTATATATAATATTAATTGTGAATAAATATATATAAAATATATTCATGCACATATTTCTTAAATATATACATGCATGTGTGGGTATTTATATATACAAATTAATTATACATACTACACAAACATGTATTATGTAAACACAAACTTTTATTTTGGATGCGATTAATCGCTGCCCATCCCTATGACCGACACTCGAAGACACCAGAGGGTTCATTTAGTGTCCATTTAATTTACTAAACAAATCCCGTTTCTTAACCGGTTAACAAGTGCTGTAACGGCACGGCGGCTCAAATCCCACACTCTTAAAACAGCAGGATCACGAAGGTTTCAGCTTGTCTCCATTCCTTCAGCATCTCGTTTCCCTCCGTCTCTTCCTCAGGGAAGTCCAGGCATAGAGAGGCTAATAAGCGTCTATCAGACATACACTCTCCGTCTGTCTCGGCTGATGAACGCCCACTCCCAACAGCTATTTTCTCCTGCGTCTTCCTCCAGAGATGTTTTTCCTTGAGGACACCCCCAAAACTGGAGGTCATCATGTCCACACACACACACCCCGCTCAGATCTATTAGTTTTCTCCGACTGAATCGTGGCCATATGCCTGAGCGAGCGCCTGGAGGTTCAGCATGCATATGTGTTACACACACATCACAGATGCTTATGAAAGAGGGATTATGAAAGACTTTGCATGAATTCAGACACACACACTCACACACTCACACACATATATATATATAGAGAGAGTGACAGTAAAGATATTTACAAGGTTGCAAAAGATGAATACTGATGATAATCATAAATTAATCATAACTAGATTTCTGAAGGATCATGTGACACTGAAGACTGGAGTAATGATGCTGAAAATCACAGGAATAAATCACACTTTACTATATATTTACATAGAAAACAGATGATTTACATTGGAATGATATTTCACAATTTTACTCTATTTGGTGAGCAGAAGAGACTTCTTGCAAAAACAAAAAAATGACTGAGCACAAACTTTTGAACGTTTATATTTATATACAAAATACATCTCAAAATTATAATTTTTTTTTAGTTCAGATTTTCACTTAAATTCTGTATATAATAATTTTTTACTAATTATTTTAATTATTACTGATTATTATTTTTTACTAATTAATGTATAATAGAAGATGCTTTAAGTTAAGCTGAATGCAAAGTTACGGTTGCACACAGTGAGGATAAGTAGCACGACTCTCGTTCGGAGGCTCTTCCCCAGCGAGGGCCCCTGGTTCACGGGGTCCTGGTTTCCCAGCATGCACTCTGCTGGCAGCTTGGCATCTGCAGAACGCTGGCAGTGGGTATGGAGAATTCCCTCTCATGATGCCGTTGTGTAACACACGGACAACCCGCTCGCTCGTGTCACGTTGCTCAGGGAGTCCACACACACACACACACACACCTGTGCTGCAGACTCACCTGTGAAACAACTAAATATTTGACCATTTTAATATCGTTTTAATTTTTCAATTTTACATTTTTAAATATTTTATATATTTTTAATATATTTCCATTTTTAAATATTTTAATCTTTTAATATAGATGTCCATGTAAAATATTTAATTTTCATTTTGTAATGTTTCAATTTTTTTATATTTTTAATATTTTATATTTTTTTAAAAACTTTTAATTAGTTATATTTTTAAATATAGTTTGTTTTTATTGTTTAAAAATTTTCCATTTTTTATGTATAATATATTTTTTTATGTATAAAGTATGTTAAAAAAATGTATTGTAATATTTCCATTTTTAGTTGCAATATTTTAGCATTTTAATATAGTTAAATGTTCTAATATTTCCATTTAAAAAATATTTTTTCAATATTTTTTTAAAAATAATTTCCATGTCTAAATCCTTTGAATATTTCCATTTAATTGTTTTTAAATATTATTTTGTTTAATACAAAATATATTTTGTATTTTCTTTTTAATTAAAATTTTAGTTTTTTTTACAATTTATTTTAATTTTGGTTTTAGTTATTTTACTACTCAGTTAGTTAGTTAGTTAGTTAGTTAGTTAGTTAGTTAGTTAGTTAGTTGGTTAAGTTTCTCATCAAGTCTTAACATCTAAAGTCTAAACATGAAGTTTTAACATCACGTTAACTGAATGGAATTGAATATAGTGTTTTGATATGTTGATGTGAGTCAGGAGTTTCGTCCACTCTTCAACAGAGTCATGTGTTAACTGGCAGATCAGTGACACACACACACACTCAGAGGCGTTCTGGCTGACAGTGTGTGTGATGTCCATCTTTACTCCTGAAAGTGCTTTCCTCGCGTCCTCTCGACAGGGTGATCTCACACACACACACACACACTGACCCTTGAATGAGTGTGTTCGTCTGAAACACTGTGATGTTGATGCTGAAACTGAATCTGGGACACACACCTGTGTGACGAGGGACTTGATGAGCCGCTGATATTTGTTTTCTCTTTAATCTTTCACTACACCTGTTCCACCTCATTCTGTCCCTCTACATCTTTTATCTTCTCGTTTACCTGTTCTTTTATCTTTCTGCACACCTGTCCTCTCTTTCTCTCTCTCTCTCTCTCTCTCTCTCTTCACAAACTCTTGTATTATTGTGTGTTTCTCCTCCGCCGCTGATTATCAGGGCTTCCCCAGAGCTAAAACTGATTGTAGTCTGTCTTCATTCATGCTCTCTCTCTCTCTCTCTCTCTCTCTCTTCTGGCGTCATTAATCAGGTCTGGTTTCTGTATAAACACTGAGTGACGCAGACTCACACTATACTGTATATTTGCTTTACAGAGAGCATTTTAGTAATGCACTCGTACTGACTCGTGTCACGACTAATTCTATTCATTTATTTTTAGATATACCAATTTATTTACTTAAAGATTTTGTGATGTAATATACACTGTTTCTTGTTTGTTTTTATTTACTAATACTGATATATTTTTATTGATTTATTTTGGGATATAGAGAATATTTATCTTTTATTTATTTGTTAAGATACTAATACTAATATACATTATTTATTTATAGTTATACCTAATACTAATATACATTTATATATTTATAGGCAGAGTTTAAAAAAGTAATTAATTACTAGTCACTAATTACCTTTTCAACAGTGTAGTTAGAGTACTGTACTAATTACTCTCTCTAAAAAGTATTTAATTACTTTTAATTACTAATTACTTTCAAAATCCCATATCCCAGGATAGACATGAATCTGTTTTAATTCTTTCAAATAAATACTATAAAATTGCATGAATTATCCTTAAACTGACCAAGGTGGAGAAGGTTACATTATAAAAACATACTTTTTAGCATCAGACAATACATTTTGATGTTAAACCCACATTTATGTCTGATCTCATGACATTTCACACTTTTTTCATATTTTACAATAATTCATACGAATTTGTACGAGTGCGGTCGTAATATTTAGACACCTCATAAAATGCATACGAATCGCTGTGAGATCGGATTGACACAGTATTTACCTCAATTACATCAGAAGTAACTGTAATTAAATTACAGATAAATTAAGAGTAATCCCTTACTTTACATTTTCAAGGGAAAAGTAGTTAAATTACTTAGTAATTAGTTACACCCAACACTGTTTATAGGTAAACTAATATTCATTTCTAGATGTATGGATAGACCATTATGTATGTATGTATGTATTCCTGCGGTTATTATTATGGGCTGTTTTGTCCGTGTGAATCTCCTGTAAGAGTGATGCAGACGCCCCTGAGACTCACATTATACTGTCACTTTGCATTTCCGAAATTTTTGCATTTTCCTTTTACAACGCTGCACTCGTACTGTGTGACACT